GCACCAAACTATCATTAATAATTATGTGTTTATTTTATAATTTAAATTCATATTTTTAATAACTTAATTGTACAAATTATATATATCTATATATATATATACACCTATGGGTTCCGGGCTCAATATTTTGAGGCCCAGTGGCACCAAACTATCATTAATAATTATGTATTTTTTTATAATTTAAATTCATATTTTTTAATAACTTAATTGTACAAATTATATATATATATATATATATATACACCTATGGGTTCCGGGCTCAATATTTTGAGGCCCAGTGGCACCAAACTATCATTAATAATTATATGTTTGTTTTATAATTTAAATTCATATTCTTTAATAACTTAATTGTACAAATTATATATATATATACACTTATGGGTTCCGGACTCGATATTTTGAGGCCCAGTGGCACCAAATTAACATTAGAAATTATGTGTGTTGATACAATTATTAACTTAATTGTACAAAGTTTGCATTTTCAACTACCAGTATAAGATACTTAAACAAAAGGAATTCTAAGCTAAAATACTACACATTACTACGCTACAAGGCTCTAAATTTTTCTACGCTAAAATGGTCTACATTTTACTACGCTAAAAAGATCTAGATTTTACTATGCTAATAAATAATCTAAACTAAACATAAACAACAAATAAATTTAATTGCAAATAAAACACAAAACGACATGAAAACACATATATAAATCAGGATATTAACAAACAAATTTATTTGACAAATTTATATTTTTTTATAAAATATTAATATTAAATCGGGATAAATTTAACATACTAGTTTCGGAAAAAAATACGAACCGAAATAGAACACATACAAATCAAATAATATGCATTATTATAAGAGTTTCAACTTAAAATAAACCGAAACACCTCGATTTAAAATTTTCAGAAAGCAAATAGATTGAAATTTTGACTCAGGAAGTGTGAATCAACAATAATACGAAGCTCTACTCGAATGTGGGATCTACGTTCTTCACCTTTTATGTGACGGGGGGCCCAAAAAAAAAATTAAAATGGTGGAGCAACGGGTATGGGAGTGGGGAACCAAGAAGATGAATATTTAAAATATTGAGGAAGAAGAAGCAGAATCGTCGTCTTGAGGAAGACGGATTTTTAAAAATATATATAGCGCCGGATTTTTGGGCGCTATACCTGTAGTGTCAGCTTTTTATATATAGCGCCTAAATACTCGGCGCTATACATTAACGGCACAGTTAACGTTAATGTATAGCGCCCAGTATTTGGGCGCTATATATAAAAATGTCATCTTTTTTTTACACCTATTAATGTGCTACTTGTTCAAAAGAACCACATTTTGGTTCCGGATTCGTAAGTGTATCTGTCTGCCAAACTTGATGTGTGATAGCTGCCTATTACAGTTGATTGTAAGATACAAATACGTTAAATCATAGAGATATTGATCTTTTACTTATTCCTAGCATTTTTACTCTGTTTTCAAGTTTTGTCCCTTAATATTCACTATACATGTCATCTGCTGAAGAAGCAATCCAGAGAATGCAGGGTGCTGCGGTTGGTCAACAAGTTGTTCGTGTTTCATAAGGTAGGAGTCCGACAGCTAAGCAGGTGAAGATTATCCTTCTAGATTTTTATTGTTAGCCACACACACTTTATTCTTTAAGATCTTAGGAAGGTGTCACGAAGAAGTTATTCATGTCATAAAATTGTTGCAGGAGTCCGACAGTTAAGCAGGTGAAAATAATCCTGTAGATTTTTATTTTTAGCCACAAAGTGCAGTCTTTAGGATCTTATGCAAGTGTCATGAAGAGGTTATCCATGTCATAAAATTGTTGCAGGAGTCCGACAGTTAAGCAGGTGAAAATAATCCTGTAGATTTTTATTTTTAGCCACAAAGTGCAGTCTTTAGGATCTTATGCAAGTGTCATGAAGAGGTTATCCATGTCATAAAATTGTTTAATATTGGTAAAATTCTTCATTAATAAGCCATTTAAAGTCAGAAGAGTTTGAAGGAATGACCATCGGGTTAACTGTAGCCAGTGATTGGAACAAATTCGTATCAGGCTCTGAAAAAGTTATCCATTCAAGATAGGTCAATATTTACCACAAACATAATAAAATCTTCTGTGCTATATATGGACCTATTCATATCGACATTTATGTGATGTCTGTATATGCAAGATGCAAACTGTTATTCAGCATGTTGGTATCAACTATAGATCTGAATTGCTTATATTCCATGAGTTATTAATTGTTTAGCATTTGCTTAATATGGTGCTATCTTGCAGGACGCTGGTGTTTGGAGTCAGTCTGCTGATCCGAGTCAATGGAACGCTTATTATGGCTATGGACAAGGTTATGATGCCTACGCGTATGGAGCCACCCAGGATCCTTCGCTATATGCATATGGTGCATATGTTGGTTATGCGCATTAACAACTTTCTTGGGTATGTTTACTATTGCTTACCTTTTGTTTGGTTGCTCTACTTTGGAATACCATTTATGCTGCATTATTTATTTACTAGTTTTTTCTCTTATATAGTACTCCATCAATGATGTTAGAAGCTGTTATGTCAAGACATGTCTCCAGTATTATTACATCACGTTTTTTAATCTACTTTCTTATATGGTAAAAAAATTAAACTGCAGCTGATAAATTATTTTATGTTTGTTTGAAACGATGGGTTTAAAATTTATAGTGATAGCAAGAATTGATTTTCCTCCTTTGTTTACTTCATGTCAATACATGAGGTGTGTTTAAATTTATAGTTCTATGTCGTTTGTGCTATTTGAGTTATTTTGTGAAATGAGCAGCACATGTTATGTGCCTTTCTCATTTGGTTTAAGAGGATAAATCAGTTTTTGAAAGTTATCACTATCTATTTCCAAGTTACTAAGTAAGAATTGAAATTATGTGCTTGCTTGGAAGTTTCTTCCATTGTTGGAATCCCGGAACGCAACTGTCGTGCTTCTTGTTTTGAAAATTATCTTCATTACATGCTTGGATTGAGTTAATACTTGGTTCTATTAATTAATTTCTTTACTAATTTTCTGGAATTCAAAAGATGTTGGTTTCAAAATTAGTTTGTTACTACTGTGATATTCTATTTTATTAAAGGTGATTTGAAGCAGGTTTTAGTCTACCATTAAGTTGACTTATTTTGTGTTTGTTTGAAACGTACAATGAGTGTCGATTATGTACATAAATATTATGAAGAGAAAAAATACTTCAACATATATAACGAGCCAATGAATACAACAAAATCATAATTCTTTCATGCTCTTTTATTTCTATCGTATTTTTCAAGTAATATTTTCTTATGATAAATTATACTAATACGATGAGCCCTTTTGTTCCTTTAGGTAAAAATTCCAGGAGATAAAATAAAGTTCTCTATATTACCATCGAAGTCGAAGGATTATTTATCTCCTAATGTTGTTGGAGGTCCATTCGACAAGATAAATTTGGTAAATAAAAAGGCTAATATGCTTATCCTCATACTCAATATGATAAATTTCCTAATGTCGCTGGTTTTCAGTAGCTTACTGCTAGGTGCTAGATATTTTTTGATACTTTATTATTTGATTGTGCTCTTTGTTACTTTGACAGCAAAAGTATGATTAATTCCGTGATTTATCATTAATGAAGCCTCCTCAATTTATTGCACGTACTGTTAGTGTCATATCATGGGTGAAAAGACTTAATGGCAGAGGGAATGTAAGCGCCTCACAGTTCTTTTATTTTCTTATTATTTTACTTAGTCTTGCTGCAATAGGTTTATAAACGAAATATTTCACTTCTACAAAGAAATTTGTCTTCAGTTACAAGTCAAGAGGTCTGAAAGACATGTGAAGTAAATCCAATCTAAGAGTTGAAGAATGTAGGAACGGATGACGGTTCCTCAAGAATGTTGTCGTCATCTTTTCTGTTCGTAGTCCAAGCTGCTTCTGCTGATTATTCCTTTGTCGAGCTTCTAAGGAAAGTTTTTTTAGTGAATAACAACTCATGTATGAACGCTATGCTTATCTTTTTGGATTATAGAACAATGGAGGAGAGCAAGCTATTTCTATAATTATTGAATATTTAGGTTGAAAGAGTGGTATATAAAAGCATGAGTTGCCTTATATATTGAGTCAATTGCAAACCAAAAAATAATTCTGTTTTTCAACCAATTAGAAAGGGAGTAACCAAAGTTTGAAGGAAACGGAGGAAATGCAATGAAGATAATTATGCTAACATTCATGACTAGCGTAAAGTTATAGCTCTTCGTTTTGCTTATGAGAGCCTTTTACCTTTATGATGAACCAAAGTAAGAATGCAATGAAGATAATTCTGTTTTTCAACCAAAGTTATTTTGTTTCTTAAGAAGCTTCCTAATTTCTCACACCTTATTTTAATCTTTTGTGTCTACCGCATTTTATAAATAATATTTTCTTATCAAAATTATATTTACGGATACTAGTTCTATTGAATTGAAAAGAAAGAGCGAAAAAAAAGCGCGGAAAGGCACTCTGTTCTTTGCAGTACGGAAGAGAATTTTCCGTTCACGCATTGTTCTCGAATTTCCAAAAATATCCCCATTTTCCCGCTTTTACAAGTTGGTCAATCACGTAATTATCTTCAAATTTCAGGGTCAAATTCTTTCTCCTCGCTTCTCACACCATTCTTCTCTTTCCCACACAGCAACCAAGACACACACACACAGAGCAAAAGAAATGTCTGTACGAAATCGACATTTGTATATAGTAGTAATAAAGTTTTTTACGAATAGGGTTTTATTACATTCTGTAAAGTGAAAAAAAATGAATTCTGATATTCAAGCTCTGAATGTGGATGACCATTTTTCCGCCGCCGGCGAGGAAGTTCCCGCCGGTACTGATAAGGCGGTCGACTTTCCGATTGGGTATGAAGGTGGGGTGGGTGGTGTTAAGGTTACAATGCCTCATCATTACACAGTTTATAGTGCTTCTGATCATGTTGCTTTTCAAAATGGAGAGGCTAATTTGAACCAGCTCACTCTATCGTTTCGTGGCCAAGTTTTCGTTTTTGATGGCGTTACTACTCACAAGGTGAGTACTTTAAGATTTTGCTTTCGTTTTATTGTCTATTCGACGTGTAATTCGTATAGTGTATTATGTATGTGGATAAGTTGACGGTTAGTAAGAAAATAATGTAGTTAAGACTTTTAAAGTATGCCCAAAGGATTTATATATGACACAAACTAATTTGGGATTCAGGGGCGGTTGGATTTGATATCATTGATTTTATTAATCTCTTTTCTGATGTGTTTCAGTCTTTTTCTCTATTTTATTTCATAGCGATTGAGCTAGTGTACTTAGGGCGTTTGATGTGCTTAAATGTGTTTGAAAACCGGTCTCATTTTGATCAATCAGATTCAAGGAAGCCAAAATATGAGATCAATAATCAATGTTAGCTTATCCTTGAAATTGTAGCTTGATTGTTTCAGGGCTTTGCTATTCTTTGATGCAATAAAGGAAAGTTTTTAGGGGTTTTAGCAGCGGGATTGATATTGAGGATTCATATAGACGAATCAATTACTTTCAATTAAGCTGTAGTAGTAGTTGTTGTTGTTGGATGAACAAGAAACTTTTTTCGACGACCCTGCAATAGTTATACCTATAGCTAATTATTTCTCCATTGGCTTGTTTCTTGGCTTCAGCCTCTAATGGGCAATGGCAATTGGAAAACTCACTTGTTGCATTTGGCTGAATATTTATTTAATTTGATCGGGAGGCTTTTGACTAAGGATGATTCATTGTCATAGGTCCAATCGGTCTTTCAACTTTTGGGTGGATTTGAGTATTCTCCGGGCATGCAAACTGTAGGTTTGGCAAGTCCAAACCAGGAGGTATCCTTTTATGCAAGTTTCTTCTTTTGGTTTGCTTTTGCACCCTTGTAATATTTGGCTTCCTTTTGCCTTAGGACTCTGTGGACTATCCATTGCACTGTGCAGATCCAAAAAGACTTGAATCCCTCATTAGATTTCGTGAAAAGAGGAAAAGGCGATGCTATGGAAAGAAAATCAGATACGATGTCCGCCAAGAAGTTGCTTTTAGGTAAATTGACTGATTTACTGCCTAGATGGAATTTCTATCTCCTCTTTTTTGTTTCAAGAAGAGCAGAAATTTTAATAGTCCAGTGAACTTATGCACATGCTTTCTCTATGAAATTAAGTCCTATCAGGGCCAGTCAAATTTTGTCAACAAAAGCCAAAAGTTCTACCACTGATGGTAAGTGAGGTCAATCTCCTAATTCCTAGGCATGCAGTGATGAACAACACATTACTCGCTGAGAGAGATTGGAAGACTGCAAAATAAAAAATATATTGCAATCACATTTACAAATAAAAGCTTTTGCATACAAAGTTTACATGACTTTAACTGGATAAGTTTGTTCGGTACCTCCATGACTTGATGAAACCATTTTTACTAAATTAGTCTCCATGAAACCATTATTACTATATAAGCCTCCCGTTACCTTGTGTTTATATGTGAGTGTTCTTGTGGCTATCTTCCTTATTTCTCATACTTTATTATTGGGAAACCATGATTCTGTCTTTCGCTTTTAATTTGTACGAAAAAATAATTAGTGATGTATTTCACATTCAGTTTCCTGTAGCACACAACTATTAGATTATTTCCAAATTCTGATGCTTGGAAACTTCTTCCTTCCAGAACTTTTCTCTTTTGATTTAGGGAAATAAAATGGTCAAAGATAGTTTTGCTTGATTCAATTAACTGGGGACGTCCAGTCTCGAGCCAAAATTATTTGAACTGGCTGTGTAATATGCTAGGAGAAATACACTGAGTTACCGAGTGTGTTGATTGACGAAGATGTACTATTTTAATCATAGTCATATGGCATTCTGCAACAACACTGGAATCATCAAAGAAAATTGTTTTAGAAAGTTGATTCTGAAAAGTAACACTCCCGATGATTATGACATTTCCATTCATTACTTGTTTTTTAACATATAAGATGATCTGCTAGAATTTCATTGCTCTAAGAAGTGAAATGCTCCCTCCCCTGACCCTACTTGTGGGATTCCACTGGGTTTTTTTGTAGTAGTTGTTGTTGTAAGAAGTGAAATGCTGCAATACGAGGCAAAACATTTCCTAAGTGACAATAGCTCTTGTACACACAGACACACTTATCTATCACCTTGGCACCTTCCACAGTTTTTCGTCCTTGGTAATTGGTATAGCAGGTTGTGGAATGTCAACAAAATATGGTAGGTTTAACCTATGTTGCGCGAACTCTCCAAAATGTTGCCGCACCCGTGGCGGATTCTCCAAAATACACTACTTTTGGAGTATCCGACACGCACCCGGCGACATTTTCGGCGAGTCCGAGCAACATAGGGTTTAACAGCTGTTCTACTATTTCAGTTTGATTTTCTTCTGCTTTTTATTCACGTTTATCTATAATCAGGATGCAGCGCAAGAATGGACAATTTGCTCGAAAAGGCTCAGGTGAACCAAAACAGGATGACAACCCACCAGAAGAAACTTGGTATGCTTTGGAGTATGAGCAAGAGTCTTGCTTTTTTCTTGAAGAATAGTCTTCTCTAAAAAATTAGTTTATGTGTATGTTTGGTTAGTGTTTAACTACTTTTGCATGCAAGAAATAGTTGGTTGATGTTGGGTGTGTTATTTTGCAAGTTATAAGTCTCTGCTCAGCGATGTTCTGGCTTCTACTTAGTCTTTTAACCATCACCTATCTAGCACTATTCTTCTCTTCTTAATTTTGATGATTAATTGTTTACCCAAAACAATAGTGTCTTTGAAAATGTTAATTCTCTCTTTCTTTCTTTCTCATTTCTTAGGTGCATCCATTGTGGAACTAGTTCAAAGGACACCCCTATGATGAGGCGTGGTCCTGCTGGCCCAAGGACTCTTTGCAATGCATGTGGCCTCACTTGGGCAAATAAGGTTGGCATGTCAAGCACCAATTGTTTACTCAAGGGCTTCCCTCTTCATTTACATTATCCTCTCTCTTTACTACCAGACATCCTGTTAAATTACGAAGATTTGGTCTATATAGAAAAAATGGAGTCCATACCTGGTAGGAGTAGGAAACAGATAGTGACTTGTCTTCCAAATACCAAGTCTGAAAGTGTATTAAACCAAATCTAATCCTTGTTCTATTTTATGAAAAAGGTAACAATGATATTCTTCAGCACCCAAAAAATTGGGCTGGTATCTAATATTTGCAAGTACAGCCCCTGAAAATCTTACAGAGAATCAAAAAGGTCTAGTAGTGATTCTGCGTCACCTATCAACTGTTCTTTACAGAAAAAATTAAAAAGAGAAATACAAGAACTCTTGATTTTCTGTGTTGAACTGCTCTTGCCTTCAAAACATCTTGCATTCCTCTCCTGCCAAACTGTCCACCATATGCAAGCTGGAACAATCTTCCACCATTCCTTGTGACAGGTTCTTCCCCTAAATACTGTTCCAGCTGCATATCAGGCCAATGGTGTCTTTGGGCATCACCCAAACAGTACCAGCTAGTGCTATAAAGATCTTCCAAAGTTGTCTAGTAATAACACAATGTAAGAAAAGATGCTCATTGGTTTCATCTTCCTGTTGACATAGAAAGCATGTAGAGCTGGTCTGAATACCTCTTCTTTGGAGAATTTCTAGAGTGAGGCAGGCTTTTCTTACCACTATCCATGAAAAGCAAATAACTTTGAATGGTACTTTGATCTTCCAAATCTTTTTCCAAGGCCAAGGATAGTTGGGGTGTCCTCTAGATGATAGACAGTTGTATGCTGCCTTGACTGTAAATTTAGAGCCATCTTTGATACACGGCTCCTCTAACATACTTTTGAACAATTTCTTCTTAGGAAGAAAACATTTATAACCTATTGTTCCTTACTTCTTATTGTATCACTCTGCAGGGGATCATGAGGAATCTCTATACGGCATCCAATGATAATACTCTGCTCACGGAACTAGAGGTAATTGGTTTATTGGTTTCTGAATAGTGGTCCTATGTTGCTGTAAAATTTGACTTTTTTCAAAGCTATTTTGCATGGCCTACTTCTTAATCCATGTAGGATGAAGATCATAGCAACTCTGACTATGGAGCTCCTCCCCGTTATCTCTCTTGTCAAGTTTCTTCCTCGGCCAGTGATTCCTCCGTTCTGGCAGCTCAACAATGACTTTGATGCCTTAGAAAGAGAGTCATAGTACATCAATATGTCATCTGATCATCCGACTGAAGGATTTCATGTACTTATTAGTTATTACAGGTACATTTCATCACCATAACTTTTTGAACAGCTTGACGATATTGTCGAGAATTTTCACTAATTTTCGCCTTTCTTTTGAAGTTTATATTGACAGATTAACAACTTAGCGAGAATTTACTGGTGAAAGCAAAGGATTTCTCTTGCCCTTGTAAATATACCAGTGTAGATTAGCTCTTGTTACGTATGCAGCATCTAGATTGAACTTCTCAGTAACATTAACAAACGCCTTTTAACCTTTAGTATATCTAACTTTCCCTCTTTGGGTAATCAGAATTGTATTAGTTACAAACTAGTGATGAATGATCGTTTTATCTATATTCTTCTCGTATACATGATGTATATTTTATTTTCGTATCCTCGACTCCCCCTGCTTCTGCCAAAGAGTGAGTAGAGAAAAAGAATACTCTATTTTTAAAAGTTATGTACTGTACATTGTTTGCTGTTATTGTTATTGGTGTATCACAAGAGGAATTTAACCTCCAGAAAACTGTCTACGAGATATTCCCAAGTATGTAAGTGGTTTGGGTAGGGTTGTCATAGTAAATTCTGTTAGGCAGTTTCTTCCCTCTTCGAGTGCATTTGCTAGCTTTTCATCTTTTGGAATACTTGTTCCGTCCCATTTTATAAGATGTTTGATTGGGCATGTAGTTTAAAAGGGAAAGAAAGATTTTTGAAATTTATGATCTAAAACAAGTTATAAACACATGTATAATATAAATTATCATATTTAAAATAAAATGAGAAGTTTAAAGTTAAAATCGTTTCTAATATAGACATGTGTAATTCTCTTTGATACGGACTAAAAACTAAAGAGTATCATATAAACTGTAACGGAAGGAGACTAGATTTTCTGTTTCAACTTAAAGAAGCTAGAAATGTATTATATCAAAATCGAAATCGAAATGTTTAGACATCTTGGATGAGGTTTTATTTGGAGTGTATATCATTTTAGTCAGGCTTAAATAGCTGTTGTTCTCTTTCCATTAGGTTTATTGGATATTACCAAATAAGAGTTCCTCCGTTGGACTCGAGAACATTAAATTGTTTCGCAAGAAACACGCACAAAGATTACTTTTTAAAAAATCCATTAATTTAGTATAAATATATTATTTTAAACAAATCTTTTTTTATAATGAAACTTTTCGAGTTCAAATTCCACCAAAAAGGGTGTCTTTTTTCTTTTTTCTTTTTTCTTTTTCTTTTTCTACTTTTACTCGCAAGTCAATTCACACACAAATGCATATATGGCTTTAAATTGCCATGTGAATTAACTCAAATAGCAAATTATAATGACTTTCACAATAGAAATATTACTTTATAATATACTTATTCCTTTTATATACATAAAATAATTAAGACTCGTCTTTGACACGTAAAAATGCTCTAATATTCATAGTTTAGGATAAATTTAGAAAAAATAGAATATTATAAATTCCGGAAAAAAATCATGAGAACAGACAACTCTCTGTACCTAATTCAATCCAATAGAATAACTTATGCTTCCAAATCTAATCCAAGATCTTCACAGAATAACTCTATAATATATTACTCCACTACAATATATTACTCCACACGCTCCCTAGAGCTCTACTGCATCACAGCCACCAATTTTCCTTCTATTTTTAGCCAAATCAATAATCGGCTAAAATCAACTTAATGTCGAATTTAGCTACACCCTGCTGTACTGGATCACAGCTAATTTAATCAATACTCAAAGTGGAAAATATTAAAAAATGCCAAATAAAGTCTCTTCAAGGAAACACTAATGGCAGACGCTGTAATATTTTCCATTTTTAAGATGCATTTTGTTAAAACGAACATTTGTCTCCTTCACACTTTCTTCCTCTTCGTCATTATCACCATCATTTTGCTGTCTGTAGCTGAATTTTGATCATGAAATTCGAATGAAAATATCATCACAAATACTTAAGAATTCATATATTTCTTATAAACGAAGATAATTCGGAGATTTTTTTCTTGTTTGTGAAAATATGATTCTTTTAATTATGAAATTTGCGTGATTTTTAAGGATTAGGTTTTCAATTTCATGGTGTATATATAGATATATAGAGAGAGAGTATCATGATGACGGCGAATCCACGGCCACTGCAGGCGCGTCTGTACGAAGATCACGCGCCGTTACAGTCGATACAGATGGAGGAGGAGGAGGAGGATGACGACGGCACGTATGAGGATGATGGAGGTGAAGAAACTATGGATGAGGCGGAGGAAATACGAACGAAGGTTTTAAATCACCATCAATATGGGGGAGGTGGTGGAGTTGTGGAAGTTTCTAGAAGTAGTGAGCTTACTCTTGCTTTTGAAGGTGAAGTGTATGTTTTCCCAGCAGTCACTCCTGAGAAGGTACCGTAGTTTCTATGTTTAAGAAAGAAATTTACTTTCTTTTTCTATTTCTATATTTGGAAGTTTCCATCAAATCATAGATTCAGTGCTTTACATTAATGCTTTAAACAAGTGATTTGTCGTGTGCAAATGTAGTGAACTCTGCGTATACTCTTAGCTACTTTTGTGCTCGATGAATTTTGCCATAATTGTGTTACTGCTATTTATTGATTAGTTTAAGTATGGGAATTGTTGAAGCCGGATTAAAGAATGATTTGGGACAAAAATTGAATCTTTAACTTTTATTTATTAAAAAATAAGTCTTATTTATTATTTTTGGAAGATTGTGGACTTGTGGTATCTGGCTAATTTGCACGTACCTTGACTAACCCATAGAGCAGCATACTACAGCCCATAAGGACAACCTTTGCTTCTGAGTGATAGACCAGATGGGGGGGCTCACACTAAGTGTTGTGGCCAGGATACGTACCTGGGATTTTGTATACCTTGGCTTAACCTCAAATCATCCCTTTATGTCTAATTCCCTTTTAAGAAAAACATTTTATCTTTAAATTTCTACTGTAGTTTTCTAAAATTTCAGGGACATGCAAAGCATCCGAAGAGAAGGGCTTCATTATGAGGCATCTCCGTTCATTGTTACTTGGTCATCTTAGCTCTTTCACTTCTGATTCTCTGCTTCGACAGTTATTCTTGTTCAATATGTCTCTTAAAAGTGGCTTAGGAAAAGTCATTTTTGTCTTGTAAGCAGTAGGTTATTTCTTTAAAAGGTATTCAGATCATATTCCTAGTAAATTGTATGATTCTTTAAGTTTTCCATCATCCTTTTGCTCCTGTCCCGTTGCCACTCCAACTAAGCAATGGGACACTTTATGGAAATGGTGTCTAGCTAACTCTACATCCTGGGATAAGTTTGGATGTAGTAACTTGGCTGAGAATATCCTTCTACTGCACCCATTTACTAAGATATTACTCTAAATATTTCTTAAGAATATAGTTGGAAAATTTTATGTCATTGCACCTTCTTTCCTGCTATATAAATTTATAAACTGCTGCTTCCTGCAATATGACTCTACTAAGCTCCTCAGATAGCAAGAATCAGAAATAGCCAAGAAATCTTGGGGTTTCATTCTTCATAAATGGTGCTTCTCATCCAGAAGGCATATTGTATGTAGTAAATCCGGGGGCCCGATTTTCCTGTCATTGGGTCGTCTCGTGGTCATGCTTCTCGAGGCTCGAAGCCAAGGTCGAGACCCACCCTCGGGGGTCGTCAGGTACCGGCCCCGGAGGGCATTGCGTACTAACGGCTATAGCATGCAGGAGGGGAATTCCCAAGGCACACGGCTAAATCTGACAAAGCTGACCTATTCGGGGCCTGTCTCAAGGTGTCACATCCAGCCGTCCCGTCTCCATGCCTTTACAGTTAATGCATTTTGTACTATAACAGGATCCCCCTCCTATATAAAGGGATCCCCATCACTTTGTAAAGCCGGCTGCTGCAACTCCAACTATTCTACACAAGATCAATAATATATCTCTCTTTTCTCTCTAACTTACTCGCTCGAGACTACTTCTTTTTCATTTATTGCTTTCATACTTCTTCTTCATTTATTGCTTGATATTGGCCATAAAAGAGCCTTCTTTAATTCTATCCTAACTGTTATTCCCTTCCCGGTTACCCTCGATAGCTCGAGCTCGAGCCCAGGCATCGACCTCGAAGCCTTTCATCGATCAGTCTGAGGCCCGAGTAGCAAGCCCCTCGGTTTAATTACTGCCCTGTTTTAACTTGTATTTCGTCGTTAAACTCCACATATCCATCATCCACTGCTCTAACAACTAGCATAAAAATAGATCACGTATTTTTAGAGTCCCATTTACAAATTTAATTGTTATTACCATTTTCACGGTAAATAGTTTGGCACCTACTGTGGGGCTAAAAATAATAGTGATTATTTTCTTGCTGGTTTCGTTACACAACGCAAGTTATCTTTCATGCATTTTCTTGTCTGAGATCTTCGATTTCAGGACAGAGCGCCTAGCTCGGTGAACAAAATGGGGAACCAGAACCTTGAAAACAGCAGAGAGAAGGACAAGACTGCTCTAGATGTCGGTACACCACCAAACTTAACCCGGGCATAAGGGAAGCTTCTCCGACATTACGTCCACATGATTATTGGGGGAACCGACGTTCCCCAAGGACCCATGTTCAAACGAACGAGAACGTCCACTACGGAAGAAGGACCGACCCAAAACCGCGTGCCCGAAGACACCCTCATATTCAGCGAGGAGGACCTCGAGGCCATGATAGAACCATACAACGACACACTGGTGATCTCGTTTCTTTTAAACAATACCAGGATAAAGCGCGTGCTCGTGGATCCAGGTAGCTCGGCCAACATAATTAGATCAGAGGTAGTAGAACAGCTGGGGTTGCTCAATCAAGTCGTTCCCGTTCCTCGAATCCTCCACGGCTTTAACATGACCGGCGAAGTAACGAAAGGAGAGATCACCCTCCTGATCGACACGTCCGACGCGATTCAGAACACCGAGTTCCAGGTCATCGACGACTACATGAGGTACAATGCATTACTCGGCAGGCCTTGGATACGCAGCATGAGAGCAGTACCCTCAACCTTGCATCAGGTAATAAGGTTTCCCACAAGGGATGGCATCACGACTATACATGGAGAACAGCGGGCAGCGAAAGAAATGTTTGCGGTCCACCATGAGGCGCCGATCCCCACATGCCCGATCTCGACTATTTCGCTTGGTCCCACCTAGATATGACAGGAATCCCGCTGGAAATAACCTCTCACAGGCTGAGCGTTGATCCCAAAGTTAAACCTGTGAAGTAGAAGAGAAGACCGCAGTCCGAGGTAAAACATGCCTTCATCAAAGAAGAGGTAGCGAAACTTCTTAAGATCGGATCCATTAGAGAGGTAAAGTACCCCGAATGGCTGGCCAACATAGTAGTAGTGCCCAGAGAGGGGACCAAGCTAAGAATGTGCGTAGATTATAAAAACTTGAATAAGGCGTGCCCCAAAGATTCCTTCCCATTGCCTAATATCGATCGTCTGATCGACGCTACGGCCGGCCACGAGACCCTCACTTTTCTCGATGCCTACTCGGGGTATAATCAAATCCAAATAAACCCCGGGGACAGGGAAAAGACCTCGTTCATCACAAAGTATGGTACATATTGCTATAATGTAATGCCCTTCGGGCTAAAAAACACAGGGGCAACGTACCAGCGCCTAGTTAATAAAATGTTCGAGCATCAAGTAGGTAAATCAATGGAAGTATATATTGATGATATGCTAGTCAAGTCCCTACGCGCAGAGGACCATTTGATCCATTTGCAGGAAACTTTCGACATCCTCAGAAGCTACAACATGAAGCTCAACCCTGAGAAGTGTGCCTTCGGAGTGGGTTCGGGCAAATTCTTGGGCTTCATGGTTTCAAGATCAATCCCGACAAGATAAAGGCCATCGAAGAAATCACGGTGGTGAACAATGTAAAAGCCGTCCAACGACTAACAGGACGGATAGCGGCCCTGGGCAGATTCATATCGAGGTCATCAGATAAAAGTCACCATTTCTTCTCTCTACTCAAAAGAAAGAGCAACTTCGAATGGACTCCAGAATGCCAACACGCCTTAGAAGAACTGAAACGATACCTGACTAGCCCACCTTTGTTGCACACGCCCAAGGAGGATGAAACGCTATACCTGTACCTGGCCGTGTCTGAAATAGCGGTGAGCGGCGTACTGATTCGAGAGGAGCAAGGTACACAATTTTCTATTTATTACGTAAGCCGAACCTTGGGGGATGCCGAAACCCGGTATCCCCATCTAGAAGAATTGGCTCTTACACTGATAAGCGCCTCGCGTAAGCTGAAGCCTTATTTTCAGTGTCACCGTATCTGCGTTCTGTCAACGTACCCCTTCCGGAGCATACTAAATAAACCCGAACTGTCGGGTCAATTGGCCAAATGGGCCATTGAACTCGGAGGGTATGATATCGAGTATCAACCTCGAACGGCCATCAAGTCCCAAATTCTGGCGGACCTCATGGCCGATTTCTCGCCATCCCTCGTACCCAAGGTAGAGAAGGAACTTTTATTGAAATCAGGCACGTCCTTCGGGGTATGGACCCTGTGAAGACGGTGCCACAAACATAAGAGGATCCGGGCTCGGTATAGTCCTAAAGCCACCCGTTGGCGGCATAATCAGACAATCCATAAAAATCGCAAAATTGACTAACAACGAAGCCGAGTACGAGGCTATGATTGTAGGTTTAGAATTGGCCAAAAGTTTGGGAGCCGAGATTGTCGAGGCAAAATGTGATTCGCTCCTCGTAGTGAGCCAGGTGAACGGGAGCTACGAAGCTCGAGAGGACAGAATGCAGAGGTACTTAGACAAAATCCAAGCCGCGTTACGTCGCTTCAAAGAATGGACCGTAGTCCATGTACCTCGAGAGCAGAACAGGGAGGCCGATGCCCTCGCGAATCTGGGATCTTCTGCTGAAGAAGAAGACGTACTCCCCGGAGCTATTGTCCAATTGTTTAAATTAGTGGTCGAGGAAGGTCACGCGGAGATTAACTCCACCAGTCTGACATGGGGTTGGAGAAATAAATACATTGATTATTTAAAAGACGGAAAGCTGCCCGCAGATCCAAAAGAATCGAGGGCCCTGCGAACCAAAGCAGCCCGGTTCTTGCTCGACGAAAATGGGACTCTGTACCGGAGAAGTTTCGATGGCCCCCTGGCGGTATGCTTTGGACTAGGTGACACAGATTATGTACTCCGAGAGATCCACGAGGGCACCTGTGGAAATCATTCCGGCGCCGATTCCTTGGTCCGAAAGGTGATCAGAGAGGGCTACTATTGGGACCGCATGGAAAAAGATACCAGAGAATTCGTCCGAAAGTGCGACAAGTGCCAGAGATTCGCTCCCATGATCCACCAACCCGGCGAGCAACTACATTCCGTTTTATCACCATGG